GTCGTCAGCAGCAGCAGCAGCAATGTCGTCATCGTCAACATCGTCAGAAAAGTCGTCGGCATCAGCAAACAGCGTCGTCATCGGCAACTTCGTCATCTGCTACTGCCATTACTACCACGACTGCCGCCACTGCTGCCACTGCTGCCACTGCTGCTACTGCTGCGGTGCGGTGGTGCGGTGCATGCGGTACAGTCCGTGTGTGCGGTGCATGCGGTACAGTCCGTGTGTGCGGTGCATGCGGTACAGTCCGTGTGTGCGGTGCATGCGGTACAGTCCGTGTGTGTGGTGCATGCGGTACAGTCCGTGTGTGCGGTGCATGCGGTACAGTCCGTGTGTGCGGTGCATGCGGTACAGTCCGTGTGTGTGGTGGCGCGTGTATGCAGTCCGTGCACGCGGTGCATGCGTGCAGTGCGTGTGTGTGTGGTGGTGCGGTCTGTGTGTGCGGTGGTGCGGTGGTACGGTTCGCGCAGTGAGTGCGGTGGTACGGTGGTTGTGCGGTGGTACGGTGGTTGTGCGGCGGTAGTGCGGTGGTTGTGCGGTGGTAGTGCGGTGGTAGTGGTACAGTGGTTGTGTGGTAGTGCGGTGGTAGTGGTACAGTGGTTGTGTGGTAGTGCGGTGGTAGTGGTACAGTGGTTGTGTGGTAGTGCGGTGGTAGTGTGGTAGTGGTACGGTGGTTGTGTGGTAGTGCGGTGATAGTGCGGTGTTAGTGCAGTGGTACGGTGGTTGTGTGGTAGTGCGGTGGTAGTGCGGTCGTAGTGCGTTGGTAGTGCGTTGGTAGTGCGGTGGTAGTGTGGTAGTGGTACGGTGGTAGTGCGGTGGTAGTGCGGTGGTAGTGTGGTAGTGGTACGGTGGTAGTGTGGTGGTAGTGCGGTGGTAGTGCGGTGGTAGTGTGGTAGTGGTACGGTGGTAGTGCGGTGGTAGTGCGGTGGTAGTGCGGTGGTAGTGTGGTAGTGGTACGGTGGTAGTGTGGTGGTAGTGCGGTGGTAGTGCGGTGGTAGTGCGGTGGTAGTGTGGTAGTGGTACGGTGGTAGTGCGGTGGTAGTGCGGTGGTAGTGCGGTGGTAGTGCGGTGGCTGCGCGTCTCACTGCACGACGCAGTGAGCGGCCGTCACCACCCAGGAGGGCGCCACGATGGAGCCGCCGCACACGAGCGAAGCGTCGTAGTGCAGCGACACTTGCCATGGCCAGCGGCCCCCCGCCGCCGGGCGGCCCCCCACCACTCGCGAGCTCTCCAGGGGGGCTCCTCCGCCACACGCTGGGGGGGAGGGGGAGTGGGGGGCACATCGTCGTCGTCGTCGTCACAATCACAGTCGTCGTCACAATCACAGTCGTCGTCGTCGTCACAATCACAGTCGTCGTCACAATCACAGTCGTCGTCGTCGTCACAATCACAGTCGTCGTCACAATCACAGTCGTCGTCACAATCACAGTCGTCGTCGTCGCAACTTGCGTCAACATCGCCGCGCCAGCGACACCTCTCTTGTGTCATGGCTGCTGATGGTGATTGCTGCTGCTGATGCTGTTGTTGGGTTGGGTGGGTTTAAGTGGTTGGGTGTGTGGTTGGGTGGGTGGTTGGGTAGGTGGTTGGGTGGGTAGTTGGGTGGGTGGTTGGGTGGGTGGCTGGGTGGGTAGTTGGGTGGTTGGGTGGGTAGTTGGGTGGGTAGTTGGGTGGGTAGTCGGGTGGGTGGGTGGCTGGGTGGGTAGTTGGGTGGTTGGGTGGGTAGTTGGGTGGGTAGTTGGGTGGGTGGGTGGCTGGGTGGGTAGTTGGGTGGGTGGTTGGGTGGATAGTTGGGTGGGTGGTTGGGTGGGTAGTTGGGTGGGTGGTTGGGTGGGTAGTTGGGCGCGTGGCTGGGTGCGTGGGTGGTAGGGTGGATGGGTGCGTGACTAGGTAGGTGCATGACTGGGTGGGTGCGTGGTTGGTTGGTTGGGTGGTTGATTGGGTGGGTGGGTGGTTGGTTGGGTGGTTGGTTGGGTGGGTGGTTGGGTGGGTGGGTGGTTGGTTGGGTGGGTGGGTGGTTGGTTGGGTGGGTGGTTGGGTGGTTGGTTGGTTAGGTGGGTGGTTGGGTGGGTGGGTGGTTGGTTCGGTGGGTGGTTGGTTGGGTGGGTGGGTGGTTGGTTGGGTGGGTGGGTGGTTGGTTGGGTGGGTGGGTGGTTGGTTGGTTGGGTGGTTGGTTGGGTGGTTGGTTGGGTGGGTGGTTGGTTGGGTGGGTGGGTGGTTGGTTGGGTGGGTGGTTGGGTGGGTGGGTGGGTGGTTGGTTGGGTGGGTGGTTGGTTGGGTGGGTGGTTTGGTGGTTGGGGGCATGGGTGGGTGCGTGGTTGTGCGTGTGGCTGGGTGGGGCTGGGTGGGTGGACGTGTGGCTGGGTGACACGACTCTCTGTGTGTATAGCTGGGTAGCTGGCAGGGTGACACGTCTCTGTGTGTGTAGCTGGCTGGGTGACACGTCTGTGTGTGTGTAACTGGGTAGCTGGCTGGGTGACACATCTCTGTGTGTGTAGCTGGCTGGGTGACACGTCTCTGTGTGTGTGTAGCTGGCTGGGTGACACGTCTCTGTGTGTGTGTAGCTGGGTAGCTGGCTGGGTGACACGTCTCTGTGTGTGTAACTGGGTAGCTGGCTGGGTGACACGTCTCTGTGTGTGTGTGTAACTGGGTAGCTGGCAGGGTGACACGTCTCTGTGTGTGTAGCTGGCTGGGTGACACGTCTCTGTGTGTGTGTAGCTGGGTAGCTGGCAGGGTGACACGTCTCTGTGTGTGTAGCTGGCTGGGTGACACGTCTCTGTGTGTGTAGCTGGCTGGGTGACACGTCTCTGTGTGTGTAGCTGGCTGGGTGACACGTCTCTGTGTGTGTGTGTAACTGGGTAGCTGGCAGGGTGACACGTCTCTGTGTGTGTAGCTGGCTGGGTGACACGTCTCTGTGTGTGTAGCTGGCAGGGTGACACGTCTCTCTGTGTGTAGCTGGCAGGGTGACACGTCTCTGTGTGTGTAGCTGGCAGGGTGACACGTCTCTGTGTGTGTAGCTGGCAGGGTGACACGTCTCTGTGTGTGTGTAGCTGGGTAGCTGGCAGGGTGACACGTCTCTGTGTGTGTAGCTGGCAGGGTGACACGTCTCTGTGTGTGTAGCTGGGTAGCTGGCTGGGTGACACGTCTCTGTGTGTGTAGCTGGCAGGGTGACACGTCTCTGTGTGTGTAGCTGGGTAGCTGGCTGGGTGACACGTCTCTGTGTGTGTAGCTGGCAGGGTGACACGTCTCTGTGTGTGTAGCTGGGTAGCTGGCTGGGTGACACGTCTCTGTGTGTGTAGCTGGCAGGGTGACACGTCTCTGTGTGTGTAGCTGGGTAGCTGGCTGGGTGACACGTCTCTGTGTGTGTAGCTGGCAGGGTGACACGTCTCTGTGTGTGTAGCTGGGTAGCTGGCTGGGTGACACGTCTCTGTGTGTGTAGCTGGCAGGGTGACACGTCTCTGTGTGTGTAGCTGGCAGGGTGACACGTCTCTGTGTGTGTAGCTGGCAGGGTGACACGTCTCTGTGTGTGTAGCTGGGTAGCTGGCTGGGTGACACGTCTCTGTGTGTGTAGCTGGCAGGGTGACACGTCTCTGTGTGTGTAGCTGGCAGGGTGACACGTCTCTGTGTGTGTAGCTGGGTAGCTGGTTGGGTGACACGTCTCTGTGTGTGTAGCTGGGTAGCTGGTTGGGTGACACGTCTCTGTGTGTGTAGCTGGCAGGGTGACACGTCTCTGTGTGTGTAGCTGGCAGGGTGACACGTCTCTGTGTGTGTAGCTGGGTAGCTGGTTGGGTGACACGTCTGTGTGTGTGTAGCTGGCAGGGTGACACGTCTCTGTGTGTGTAGCTGGCTGGGTGACACGTCTCTGTGTGTGTAGCTGGGTAGCTGGCTGGGTGACACGTCTGTGTGTGTGTAGCTGGCAGGGTGACACGTCTCTGTGTGTGTAGCTGGCTGGGTGACACGTCTCTGTGTGTGTAGCTGGGTAGCTGGCAGGGTGACACGTCTCTGTGTGTGTAGCTGGTTGGGTGACACGTCTCTGTGTGTGTAGCTGGCTGGGTGACACGTCTCTGTGTGTGTGTAGCTGGTTGGGTGACACGTCTCTGTGTGTGTAGCTGGCTGGGTGACACGTCTCTGTGTGTGTAGCTGGCAGGGTGACACGTCTCTGTGTGTGTAGCTGGCTGGGTGACACGTCTCTGTGTGTGTAGCTGGCAGGGTGACACGTCTCTGTGTGTGCGCTGGGTTTCTCACGCAAGCACTGCAGAGTGATGACCTTGCCGGTGCCACAGGTCTCCCTGTGGGAAGAACAAAACACTCGCTCACCCACACAGTCACTCACCCACACAGTCACTCACCCACACAGTCACTCACCCACACAGTCACTCACCCACACAGCCACTCACCCACACAGTCACTCACCCACTCACTCACCCACACAGCCACTCACCCACACAGTCACTCACCCACACAGTCACTCACCCACAGTCACTCACCCACACAGTCACTCACCCACACAGTCACTCACCCACACAGTCACTCACCCACACAGTCACTCACCCACTCGCTTACCTACACACTCACCCACTCGCTCACCCACTCGCTCACCCACTCACCCACCCACCCACTCACCCACCCACCCACTCACCCACCCACCCACTCACCCACCCACCCACTCGCCCACCCACCCACCCACCACGTCTGGAAGACCTTGGCGACCGTGGTGGTGGAGTCCGCGATGGCCGCGGGGTCGGCCCTGAGGAACGTGGAGGAGGCGTTCAGCCCCAGCGTGGCCACGTCCACCGCCTCGGCACTCTCAACACTGGGGGGGGGAGGGGGGGCAGCATGGCACCGTGAGTGGGGGGGGGATTTCGTGCGGCACACCGTGGTGTGATTTGTGTGCAGTGCGGTGTGTACCAGGGAAGTGTGGGCGTGCACATTCACCCCACTCGCCCCCCCCCCTCAACCCCCCCCCTCACTCGCCCCCCCCCCCCAACCCCCCCCCTCACTCGCCCCCCCCCCCCACCTGTCGTAGCCCATGGAGCTGCAGCTGAAGTGGGAGAGGGCGCCGCTCCACCCGTCGGAGCAGGCGAACCCCCACGGCCCGCGGGCCCCCGGCACAAACACCTGGAGCACCTGGGCACGTCCCCACACTCGCACTGGGGGGGGCGGGGAGGGGGGGGGGCATTGTAATGACAACACAGCGGTGCAGTTGCACCTTCACTCGCCCAAACACTCACCCACTCGCACAAACACTCACCCACTCGCTCACCCACTCGCCCAAACACTCACCCACTCGCTCACTCACTCACTCACCCACTCGCCCAAACACTCACCCACTCGCTCACTCGCTCGCTCGCTCACTCACTCGCCCAAACACTCACCCACTCGCTCACTCACCCACTCGCCCAAACACTCACCCACTCGCTCACCCACTCGCCCAAACACTCACCCACTCGCTCACTCACTCACTCACCCACTCGCCCAAACACTCACCCACTCGCTCACTCGCTCACTCGCTCACTCACTCACTCGCCCAAACACTCACCCACTCGCCCAAACACTCACCCACTCGCCCAAACACTCACCCACTCACCCAAACACCCACTCGCCCAAACACTCACTCGCTCACTCACTCGCTCACTCGCTCACTCGCTCGCCCAAACACTCACTCGCTCGCCCAAACACTCACCCACTCGCCCAAACACTCACCCACTCGCCCAAACACTCACCCACTCGCCCAAACACCCACTCGCCCAAACACTCACTCGCTCACTCACTCACTCACTCACCCACTCACCCACTCGCCCAAACACTCACCCACTCGCCCAAACACTCACCCACTCGCCCAAACACCCACTCGCTCACTCACTCACTCACTCACTCGCCCAAACACTCACCCACTCGCCCAAACACTCACCCACACACTCACTCACTCACTCGCTCGCCCAATCACTCACCCGCTCGCTCGCTCACTCACTCGCCCACTCACTCGCCCAAACACTCACCAACACACTCACTCACTCGCTCGCCCAATCACTCACCCGCTCGCTCGCTCACTCACTGGCCCACTCACTCGCCCAAACACTCACCAACACACTCGCTCACTCTCTCGCCCAAACACTCACCCGCTCGTTCGCTCACTCACTCGCCCAAACACTCGCTCCCTCGCTCACTCACTCGCCCACTCACTCGCCCAAACACTCACCCACACACTCGCTCACTCTCTCGCCCAAACACTCACCCGCTCGTTCGCTCACTCACTCACTCGCCCAAACACTCACTCCCTCGCTCGCTCACTCACTCGCCCAAACACTCACCCACACACTCGCTCGCTCACTCACCCACTCACTCGCCCAAACACTCACCCACACGCTCGCTCACTCGCCCACTCACTCACCCGCTCGCTCGCTCACTCACTCGCCCACTCACTCGCCCACTCACTCGCCCAAACACTCACCCACACACTCGCTCACTCACTCGCCCGCTCACTCACCCACACACTCGCTCACTCACTCGCCTGCTCACTCGCTCGCTCGCCCAAACACTCACCCCGCTCGCTCGCTCGCCCAAACACTCAACCCACTCACTCGCCCACTCACTCGCCCAAACACTCGCCCACTCACTCGCCCAAACACTCACCTGCTCGCTCCCTCGCTCACTTGCCCAAACACTCACCCACCCGCCCGCCCGCCCACTCACTGACATGCTCGCTCATTCATTGACCAACTCATTCGCTCACTCACTCACCCACTCGCCCAAACACTCACCCGCTCGCTCGTTCATTCATTCATTCACTCGCTCACTCGCTCATTCACTCGCCGAAACACTCACCCATGCTCCTGCTTGCTCACTCACTCACCAGCTCGATCGCTCACTCGCTCGCCCACCCAACCACCCGTGCACTTCATCATTCAACCACTCGCTCACTCGCTCACCCACCCGCACATCCGCTCACTCGCCCGCCCGCTCACTCACTCACTGCAAGATGAAGCTACTGTGTCCCGCGTTCCATCACAGCTCACAGCCATGATGCTTCTGTTGATGGCTGGCTCTCCTGCAACAACATCAGCACCATCATCATCTAAAGCATTCTCATCATAATCGTGAATGTTATCATTATCACCATCACTACTAGCAAAATCTCCATTCCATCATCATCACCAATGCAATCATCACTAGCCGAATCACCATCACCATCATCCAAACCAATGTCATCATTATCATCATCATCACCAGCATCATCACCACCACCACCTCTGGCATAGCAAACATCAGCATCGTCAATATCATGAACAAGGTCATCATCATGACCTGCCTGGGCCAATGTGAACCTGCGAAGAGAGACGCCCAGACCCAGGGCTTGAACCCAAAGATAGCGGCAGCCCTGACTCGGTGCCTCTGACACGGCCATTGTGAACCTTCCGAGAGAGACGGAGGGACACCGAGACCCAGGCGAGGAGTGGGATTTCACCCTCAGTCTCTGGTAGCCTCACAAAGTTGGGGGAGGGGAGCGAGGGAGCGAGAGAGCGAGGGAGGGAGGGAGCCAGGGAGGGAGCGAGGGAGGGAGCGAGGGAGGGAGCGAGGGAGGTAGGGAGCGAGGGAGGGAGCCAGGGAGGGAGCCAGGGAGCCAGGGAGGGAGGGAGGGAGCGAGGGAGGGAGCCAGGGAGGGAGCCAGGGAGGGAGGGAGGGAGCCAGGGAGGGAGGGAGGGAAGGAGCGAGGGAGCCAGGGAGGGAGCGAGGGAGGGAGCCAGGGAGGGAGGGAGGGAAGGAGCCAGGGAGTGAGGGAGCCAGGGAGGGAGCGAGGGAGGGAGCCAGGGAGGGAGGGAGGTATAATTTATTTAATATCAGAATCTGTATTTATGCTGCAGGAGGAATCCGATGAGCTATAAAGCTTTTTTTCAGAGATGTCCAGTCGGGGCACGGGGTCAGAACGTTACAACAAATACAATACAATAGAGCGACCAGATAGAGGTGAGATCAGAGACAGCCAGAGAGAGATCAGAGAACAGCCAGACAGAGATCAGAGACAGAGACAGCCAGAGAGAGATCAGAGACAGCCAGAGAGCGATCAGAGACAGAGACAGCCAGAGAGAGATCAGAGACAGCCAGACAGAGATCAGAGATAGAGACAGCCAGACAGAGATCAGAGACAGCCAGAGAGAGATCAGAGACAGCCAGACAGAGATCAGAGATAGAGACAGCCAGACAGAGATCAGAGACAGCCAGAGAGAGATCAGAGACAGCCAGACATAGACAGACAGAGATCAGTGCAAAAGCAAACCCGCATTACGAAGAGACACACGGCAATCAGCGTTTAAAAAAAATAAATCACTCAACGATGCAGTCGTCCAGAGGCTCCCCTTGTATAGCCTTAACAGACTGTAGGGGCAAGTGCTGTTAGCGAGCACCTATGAAGGCCGGCACGGGGGGGTGGCTGGCCAACAGCACGCCCGGCCGCCTTTGTCTCCCCCAGTGGCGATGTTTACTACACACCGCTACACCAGGTACTCATTTGAGACCGAGTCGACCTAGGGGAGGCCCAGGACCGGTTCAGATAATCGTCACTGGTGGTGTTGGCCGTGAGCGGGAATCGAACCCGGGTCACCGGTTTCGTAGCGCAGCGTAGCGCTAACCGCTACATCACCGCTCCCCAAACACACACAGACACACGTACACACACACACCCCCACACACACACAGACACACGTACACACACACACCCCCACACACCCCCAACAACAACAACAACTGCCATTTGCCACTAAGTGGCGGTGACGTCACCACGACGCTTGTGCCAGGCTATGTGCATCCTGAGGCCACGTGAAGTGTCGAACGCCCGCTGGCAGGTCACGGGGCAGACCCAGGTGCCACGGGTCGACTGACTGAGATGACTGGCTGATGCACCACCTGTGCCCCCTACTGTGGCAACCTGCTGTGCTTTAGCCACCCGGCGCTCCGCTCGTTGTTGTGAGCGTCGCTCCTCCGCCCTCTGTTGTTGTTGGAGGGCGACTGCCTCCAACTGCCCAGTAGCGTCCTTCACGAGCCTCCTCCACAGAGGCCGATCTTGACACCGCTGGTACCAGTCATCGGCAAGTCCACTCAGCTCCACGTCCTCCTGTACCACATCACTCCATCTCTTCTCTAGCTCGTGCCGCGCCCGCTTAGCCCCCTCAATCCGGCCGAACAAAAGCTGTTTCGGCATGCGGTGGCTGGGCATGCGGGCTACATGACCCAGCCATCGCAGCCTTCCCCGCCGAAGGAGCTCACCGATGGGACCTTGCCCAGATCTTTCAAGGATTTGTGAGCTCCTCACACAATCCAGTCTGGTTAAACCCAGGATGGATCATAGGCAGGCCAGCCTAAATGTTTCTAACCGGCGAAGATGTTCCATTAGGGGGGTCCACGTTTCGCAAGCGTAGAGAAGGGAGGGAATGACCGTGGCCGAGAAGACCTGAAGCTTAGTGCGGAGCGATAGACCAGGTAGCTTCCACACAGCGTTACGCAACCGATGAAAATATATTTCCGCTCGACTGATTCGGAGTGAGACCTCTGCTGTTAAACTGGAGCCAGTCATAAGCACACTGCCCAGGTATGGGAAACTCTCCACTCTCTCCACAACTGCCCCATCACCGATTGGGAGTTGTGAGGGTGGAGTGTCCGATGGTACAAAATACCCAGGCAGGTGCTTAGTTTTGGTGGGGCTGATGGTAAGGCCCCACCTCTTAGTGGCACGCTCCAGTCTCAGCAGCAGCGTCTCCAACTCCTCCTCTGAATGAGCAGCTATTACCAAATCATCAGCATACATAACGTGGTTGAGCAATAGAGAGCCATCCCTTGACCGCACCCGGGCATCGATCAGCCTCCCATTATATCTGTACCATATGGAGATTCCCCCGGTACAGCTATTGAAGGCTTCACGAACTACGTGGTCAAAATAGATGTTAAATAATGTGGGAGCCAGAGGACATCCCTGTCGCACCCCAAGGTGTACAGGGAATGGCTCTGACTC